AGATTGGGAGATACATTCATCTCAACTAATCCACTTAAGGGTGACTTAATTAAGAGAATAAAACATGCCAGCACTTTTCTGCTTCTGGGGAATATTACATTAGAGCATCCACATATTTGTACTTTCTGTAAAAACAGAGGCAGGAAAAAAAAAAGGAATCACAGCGTCTTAAATGTGAATGCAGTCCAAGAATTCATCCATGCCACCCTTTTGCATCCAAAGATTTTACTTCTAAACCAAAATGCTAGCATGTTAATTAAAACTGATGTGATTTAAAATATTTAGCTGTTCATTCCAATGCAACTGTGTTTATCGCACAGAAAAGGTAGTGACTTGCAGGTGGATGGTATTTTTATATAATGTTGATCCAGGTAAACAAGTACTGAATTATTATTCCTATTATACCACTGAAGTATTTTCTGAGAATGTAACACAGCATGGGTTTTAGTTTAAATGCATATTATGTCTAATTAAACATTTAATCCTTTACTGGTTCTAAATTTTGTTTTATTTGTATTACTTGGGACCTGTTTTCAATTAAGAAATACCAAATATGGGGCACCTGGGTGGCTCAGTTAAGCGTCTGCCTTTGACTCAGGTCATGATCCCAGGGTCCTGGATCCCCAAATCATGCTTCCTGCTCACTGGGAAGTCTTCTTCTCCCTCTCCTTCTGCCTCTTCCCCTGTTTGTGCTCAATCTCTCTCTGTCAGATAAAGAAACAAAATCTTAAAAATGATTGATGTTTAAAAGCATGGGTTTCCTATATGTTTCTTTAGATTATTTATCTCAGATATATATTGTGACTATAATCACATTTTATGTATGTGGAAAGTTTAAAGGTGATATTCATTTTCTCCATGCAACTGCTCAAAACTTTAATATGTTCTATTTCTGAGCTTGGACAAGGGAAACAAGATTTCTCAAACTGTAGTTCACATTTTACTTCAATATGCATGTTTTCTGAAATGGCAAAATCCCTCAGGGCTATGTGATTTTCACTAGTGTGTATGTTTAAAGTTCATAGGCAAACACAACTGAATAAATCATGGAACACATTTTTTTCTGTGTGCCCGAGAGATGCAAATTATAGTATTGCAGGTTAATTGCTGAGAGGTCTGGTCTCCATCTTGTATATCTTGTTTGCAATTTGTTTTTCATTTATTCCAAGTGTACACAATTCACTTTGTATTTGCTTGTTACTTACATGTTGTTCAGTTGTCTGCAAAGTTTGCTTTTTTTTTTTTTCCAAGATTTTATTTAGTTATTTGTCAGAGAGAGTGAGCACAGGCAGACAGAGTGGCAGGCAGAGGCAGAAGGAGAAGCAGGCTCCCCGCTGAGCAAGGAGCCCGATGTGGGACTCGATCCCAGGACGCTGGGATCGTGACCTGAGCCGAAGGCAGCCGCTTAACCAACTGAGCCACCCAGGCGTCCCTGCAACGTTTGCTTTTAACATGAGGGGAAACTATTTTTCCCTGACTGTGCCTTCCTAAATGTACTGACTAGTGCTTATCAGCATTTCCGGGGCTAGGAGGGGGAAATCCTTGCTCACATACTACCTTGATTACTTGTACTTATTTTCAAAGGAACAGATCAGAGGGATCATAGCTAAGCTAAGAAACAGATCTGCCTTGTGATGTTAGGATTGCGTATACTAATGCACACCCTGGAAAAGAGTCTTTTCAAATGCAGGGCAAGAGCCCATGCTTAGAGTCTCACATATCTGGAGTCCCACTCTAGTCTGCCCCGAACTAGCTGTGTAACCTTGGATGTGCTTTATAACTGCTCTGAGCTTCATTTCCCCAACTGATGAAATAAGCATTCTAGCCCCATGTCAGAGGACTGTTGTAGGAATAGGAAGGAACTGGGCAAATCACTAGGGGTATATGACAAACCACCTCTTCAGTTTGTTTGTTTTTTAAATGTCTTGATTTGCCTTGATTTGTAGTGTGGTGTAAATACTCTCATCATGGTTGATTTCAAAGTATGAATGATTTAACAACCACCTGGTAAAATTCTTGAATATGTAACAGTCCTCTAGTACTATCCAAGCCTAGCACAGCACTGCTAGCCCTTAACAAATGGTGATAATTACTTCTTAATAGTTATATTTTGTCTTCCCTTGATCTAAGAAAATTTTTGCTGTTTGATGCATTTCTATATAGACAAAGAATGTGAAGGCTCAGTGAAGGATAGTAATGTATAAGGTTTAAAATATTAATGATTTCAAATAATGAAAAAATAGCTACCTTAACAATTTTGAAAGTAGTTGAAAAACTTAAAAGAAGGAAACATTTTAATAAGAAAATGTGTTAGTAAAATGCTTTAAAAGTAAGAATAAAGATCACTTTGTAAGATGTTCTAGATGAATTAAATTTAATATCAGCTTTTTCAGATTGGTTAGAAATGGTTTGATTTCTCTGGTCTTTCTTTCTTTACACAAAAAGTCCTAAGGGGAAAATTTTATGTATTTGATACGTTAACAAATAAAGATATGCAGACCGCCACTATTTAGAAACCTAGTACTTTCAAAAAGAGCTACTTTCAATTTCATCCAGTAGCCGTTTTATGTTATTCAAAACTGGTTTTAGATTTTAAAGTTTGTTACAAGGATGTATTTTTGGAAGTATTTCATTACTGAGTAACCATGGCTATTTTTTTTTTTTTTTGACAATAATGAAAATTTGCATATGTAGTCTGACATGATGGACAAGGAATGGCATACTTGAACTGAGATTGCTCCAGAACATCTGGACACATGAAGTCTGTAAATGACTTTCATGTAGCAATGAACATCTCAATTAACAAAGCACAAAATTGTGGGTGATCGAGGAGAAAATGACCAGAATTATGGGCAGTTGATGAAATCAGTTTGTGCTGAGAGTACCATTTTTTATGCACATTTACTGTGCCCAGGAGCAGTCAGTGCTGGGACACTGCGCTTGGGCAATGTGTGGGTAAACTCAAAGACATTTCTTTT